ATTGGACTTTTTAAATGTAAGTGGTGAAATCTGAAAAATCATATTGTGTTAAAACTAGATAGATATCCAGCTTTGTTGTTGACCTAGCAAGACAAAAAGGATGTGTTTTGTTAGTTTGGTAGGGACAAGTCACTTAGACTGCTCACATATATCATAAGAGATCTCTTAGTCGAATTAATGTGCGATGATGCATAAAGTTGTAGTGTTGTGAAAATGTTGTATTGATAAAACGTTGTGTTGTTAAGTTGTTGTGTTGATATGTTGATATGTTAATGAGTTGTATAGTTGTTAAATTATATAAATGTTGTGAAGTTTATCTGATGAGTTGATTAGCTAAGTTATTTAAGTTAGCATATGGTTGTTGTTGAGAATTTGATGTTGATTATATTTATATGTAGTTGGCGTATTTGCTTTTATATATATTATTTTCTTTATATACAAGTTTACACTTATTTTTCATGTTGTTGAACTACAATGATCATATCATTATATGAGCATGACAAGACTAAGGTGGAGGGTGAGCATGACTTTGAGCCATACCAGTGATGGTACACAACATAAATTTAATATCATATAAATTAGATTATCTTTAATTATTAATAATATTTTTAAATATTAAATTTAATTTAAAAGTAAATTAATAAATTAAAAAAATAAAAGATTAAACATATTCTTGTTAAAAGAAAATTGCTAAAATACTCTCATTGATTAATGGTCTCAAACACATTATTGTTCAACATATTTATTTTAATTTATACATATAGATAGGTTGGTTAAGGTTTAATTCTTTAAAGTGATGTTGGTTGCTATTTTAAATTAAAGTAACTTATAATTTAATTAATTTTAAATTAGCAAATTAGCAATAATATATTTTAATTTTATTTTTTAATATATATGCTTATTTATTTTTAAATATTTGAGTTGAGTTAATTATTATTTATCTTAATCATTAAAATTAGTCAAGTGGTTGAGTGAAAGTTGAGGTAGTTAAAAATATGAGATCTAAGTTCAATTTTCGTAACAATTATCTTTATAATCATTCCTATCTTGACATATATATAAAATATATAATAAAAAAAAGACTACTTATCTTTAGAAAATAATGTAATCACGTTGCATATCTTACGCCAATTTTATAGCAATAAATTTTGAATATGTAAATACTCAATAATATATGATAATAAATGCTAACGCGTATTTGTTATATACTTTAGGACAAAATAATAAATAAACTTTAACATATTAAATATTTTTTATGTAATAGATTAATATCTCTATGTACTTTGAGGTAAATCGGGGGGTCACAATTGAAAACCAGATACTAATATATGAAAATACTGACGCTCATTTAATGATTAAACTCAATAAATATTTTTTCATACTTATAGATTTTAGTTGAAGGTTATATATCTGTCACACTATGTTGATTTTAAAGTGAAAGTGAGATCATTAAATTGGTTTTAATTTTTATAAAATGTGAGTTATATTTTTATTGTCATGAAAAAAGATCTTTATTTTTATTCTTTTAAAATTTGCAAAAAATATTTTTAGTCTTTTGTAAAATGAACAATTTTTATTTGTGTTGTTATGATTATATATATATATATATATTTATTTTGTTATAACAATACAAATAAAAATTATATATATATAGAGAGTTAATCACTTATACAATAACAGTGTAAAATTTTTTTACATTGACAATCAATTGTATCTCTTAATTGTGTCATGTTACTATAAACACATTTACTTTTAACAGTGACATGACACAATTAAAAAATATAATTGGTTGTCAGTATAAAAAAACTTTACACTAGTAGTTAAATTAAATTACTATAATATCCTTTATACAAATTAATCAAATCAAAAAAATAAATAATTTTCTTGTCCTAAAATTTTGGTGTAGATTACTAACATACTCCCACTAAAAAATAGGTGGGAGTATATTAACATTCCCCATATATATATATATATATATATATATATATATATTGTATGTTTCTTTTAATTTCTTTTACCCTTACTTGATTTAAATTATATTTTCCTTCTCGTCTTTGATTTTATGGAAATAAATAAATTTCTCTAATTTCTTGGGACTAATAATTTACTAATAGTAAAATATTAATAACATAAAGTGTATTGTTGCTGCAATTTATCGTTTATTTGTCAAAAAAAAGAAAACTTATTATTTCTACTCATAACTAATACCTATTAAGAACATAACTAACAATCTTTATTAGAATTTCCCTTTTTAATTACACTTTTTTCATTAACAATATTTAAATTTTAAGAAAATTTTCACAAGTCTAATACTAGTCCGTCCAACGATATGTAGATTAAATTCTAACATTAATTACAATAGTAAAAATTTAGAATTATTAGTTATAATTATAATTATTTGATTTAATATGTTGAAAATTAATAATTTAATACTTTGTATAAAATATTTTTTTTAATTGAAGTATGATGTACTTTAAGCATATGAATTGGCTCTTTATAACAAATAAAATCATAAATTTTATGTAGAATGTGTTTGATAAAAATAATTTATAAATTCCCAGCAGTTCTATCCTGACATAATACTATACTTCCTTGTTTAAGTGGCAAAGTCTGAGAAATCGTTATCGTGCTGTGGATTGGCATCCAAATTTGTTGTTTACTTAGCAAGCCCAAAAAGGTTCTTTGTTGTCGGTTCGGTAGGACCTAGCCACTTAAACTGCTCACTCATGTTGTAGGAGATCTCTGAGTTGAAATGCGTGAGACGCATAAGCTGTTGTTGTGTTGATTTGATGTTGTTATGAGTTGTATATGTGCAGTGTGTTGTGTAGCTGTGATTGAGCTGTATGTTGTTATGTGTTGTATGTTAAATCTGTTGAGAATGATGATGTTGTTGTTAAGTTGAAAGCTGCTTATAATTTAACTATATGTTGATTCCTTTTCACTATCTTACCCTTGCTTGTTTCCATGTGGGTTGGACTGCAATGATCATACTGTGTATGAGAGCAGAGCAGGGATAGGCTGGAGAGTAGTATTAGGGCTACGGTGATAGCAGAAGCTGACTTTTGGTGTGGGCTACTCGGTGTAGCAATCTTGTTAATTTTAGATACTGACTTGTTGAGCCCCAGGCTAGACATATGTATATATATTTACTCCTTTATATGCATACTCTACTTCTGTGTAGTGTTGTTTTGTTATGTGACGGCTGGGCGGGTCGTTACATAACAAGTAAGTAAAAATAACTAAACATAAATAAGAAACATATAACAAAATGAATCATAACGCGAACTTTAAATAATAAAGAAATCAGACTTAGAATAAATAAAAAATTACATTAATATTTTGTCTATGTCATACTTATATATTAAGCAAAAAAAAAACTTTTTATTATACTCACATGCTTTCACTCATTTTGACATCTTTCATATTTTTTTATTTTGTTTTTGTTGCTTTCTATTTAATATTTCTTTCATAACTTGAAAATGATCGCAACTTTACTAAACTTGTATGAAGTTTTATGTTTAAGATTTAATTTCTTTATATGGTACTAAAAATTTAGAATTTCACTATGTATAAGTGAAAATTAAACTTTAAACCATATAAATTTAGCTTAAGTAGAAAATTAGTGTATCGGATGGTTGTAGTATTTGGAGGATAGTCGGTAGGCTAATTCCATAGGTGGCTTAGTTAAGCTAGCTAATGTCGTGGTAGGCCTAAAACCCAGCAGTTCTATCCTGACATAATACTATACTTCCTTGTTTAAGTGGCAAAGTCTGAGAAATCGTTATCGTGCTGTGGATTGGCATCCAAATTTGTTGTTTACTTAGCAAGCCCAAAAAGGTTCTTTGTTGTCGGTTCGGTAGGACCTAGCCACTTAAACTGCTCACTCATGTTGTAGGAGATCTCTGAGTTGAAATGCGTGAGACGCATAAGCTGTTGTTGTGTTGATTTGATGTTGTTATGAGTTGTATATGTGCAGTGTGTTGTGTAGCTGTGATTGAGCTGTATGTTGTTATGTGTTGTATGTTAAATCTGTTGAGAATGATGATGTTGTTGTTAAGTTGAAAGCTGCTTATAATTTAACTGTATGTTGATTCCTTTTCACTATCTTACCCTTGCTTGTTCCGGTCCGACCGGCCGGGTCAGTCCGGGTTTTAAAACATTGGTTGAAAGTTTATAAGTTACAAATTTGAAATTAAAGTGTTTAAAATTTAAAAGTTAATTGGTTGAATTGGAAATATTTGATAAGATTAGTTAAATCAATTGATATAAAATGATACATTTATTTATTTGATAATGAGGGTAGAAAAATATTATATAAATATAATAATTTATAAATTAGAAAAATTAAAAGATAATTTCAAGAAAATTAATGAAAAGAAAAGAAAATAACCACTTATAAGTTATTTCAATTAATCAATAAAATTTATAAGGCTTTTCAAATTCCTATTACCATTAGATTAAACATGTAAACTAGTAGTAGTATGGTTATTATTATACTACATGTGAATAGTTATAATGGTGACTAATGATGAAATTAAACACATGCAACTCACCTAGACAAGAGGAATTGTAAAAAAAAAAAGAAAATGAAAAAAGCTTTAGATAGTGGTGAATTAAAAATAGGAGAAGTAAGAAAGGGCTTGTGAGAGAGGGTGGGCCAAGAAAAGTGGTAGGAGAAAGTAGAGTAGGACCAGGGCGGTGTGTCTGTTACGTTTACGCGCATTGCTCGAGTTTGGGCCCGCACTTTTCTTACCCTCCCACATCAATTTTGACGCAAATAATAACAACATTTTTGATTTTTTTCTCTCTCCCTCCTATCCTCCTAAAACCACAAATGACAAAACTGCCACTCTATCATTCACCTCATACAATGTGACATTCGTAATTTCCACCAACTTGGGTGGCATTCTCGGATGAGAATGACAAATGACAATATTGGTAGTTTCAGCCAATAGATTCACTCTCACGGATACCTCGAGCTCGAACTAAACCTGCCGCTGTTTCTTTTTCTTTCTCAAACCCCTTTATAAAACCATCTCTTCCCACTTTCTTCTACACATTCATATTCATGCACTTCTCCGCCTCCGCCTCCGCCTCCACTAGACCTTGTTACTTGGAACAAGACCACGGTTTGGCTTCCTTAAACAACAACATGGACGCTTGTCATCACCGTGCCAACAATTTCTTCTCCAGGTCCATCACCATGGGTTACGCCACCTCCTTCACTCAGAGGAGCCTCTCCGTTTCCTCCCCGAGATCCGCCACATTCCAGGATCACCCGCCGCACTTCCTCGCCGCCTGCTTCCTCTGCAAAAAACCTCTCGGGGACAATCGGGACATCTTCATGTATAGGTCAGCCACCCCTTTTGAGAAAAATCGAATTTTTGTGGCAAAATTTGTTCCTTTGGCGTTTTTGTTGGATCTGATTAGGGTTTGAATTGTGTGATGCAGAGGGGACACGCCTTTCTGTAGCGAAGAGTGCAGGCAAGAGCAGATAGAGATAGACGAAGCGAAAGAGAAGAAGAGGAACCTTTCTTCGTCGATGAAGGCTTTGAGGAAGAAGGAGCAGAGAAAATCGAGTTCGCCAAACAAGTCCCAAGATTACTCGTTTCGTACAGGGGCAGTTGCTGCAGCTTAGCGTGGTGGTTGAAGGGTGAATTGGATTCCTGGAGAGGAAGGAAGGAACGCAGTGTTCCCGGAAAAGGAAAAGGAAACAGAAAAAGTGTGAGAAAGAGACAAGTTGTTGAAAAGTGAAAATTGTGTTTGCCAGATCCTCTCTAGTCTCTAGTCCCTAGTCTCTAGTCTCTATACCAAATAACACAAATTTTGAGGCCTGCTTTTTTCTTTTGTAAATCACCCTCCTCCCTCCCTCCCTCCATGACTTGACTTATAGTGGTTGTGCGTTGTGCCAAATAGTTTCAGTTTTCAAAAGAAGAAACTGAATACAATGCAAATTTTACTCTCTTTCTGGGACTTAATATTTCTGTTAATTGGGTGAAGTGAGTGTCTTCAACTTCAACTTAACTCGCCATCGTTTCAATCCTGTTCTCCGTTTTCTCAAACACCAGAGGTTTCCCCACTCTTTCAATTCACCACTACTAGGTCTCACTTTCGTTACTTCTTTCTGTTGCCAGTGTTGAGGAATGAGGATACACAATGATACTGTATTTAAGAAATCAATTACTTTTTTTTCTTCTTATTGTTATATCATACAAATTAAATTGTATTTTTATCCTTCAAATTGTACTTTAAATTATGTAATTGTTTCTTATTCCCATTTTTTTAAATTTATTTTAGTTCTTGAATTTGTTCTCTCGTTAACATTTTAGTTTAAAATAAAATTTGTTTGAAAGAGTTGAAAAAAAAAAAAGAGACTTCAACATATAATTTAGCTTAAAGTTTATTATATTTACCATTTATCTCTATTAAAAATAAAATATAAAATAAAAACTAAGTAAGAAATATATATTAATTAGTGTTATGATCATTTATTAATTTTAAAATTTTAATTTTGATAAAAAAATATTTTTTTTTAAATTTTTTTAAATGAAAAAATATAATGACGAATAAAATATGAAAACTAAAGTGATGTAATTATTAAAAGAAGTATCCTATGTACTTTTATTTTTCCCTTTCATAGATATCTATAGATTATAGGATGTTCAACAATTATATTTATATGGAGCAATGATAATGATATCCTATTTCTTAGGAGTATGGGCAGATAAAAGAGATAATAAAAAGTATAATAAAAGAAAAAGAGAAAGTAAATAGACATAAGAAGATAAATAGAATACGAATGAGGTGTAAAAAAAAATCGAATATAAATTATGATTTTATCTTCTTGTGAAATAACTTAAAAGTATATATAAATACTCCCTTCTACGTAATATTGTAATCAAATAAGTTAATAAATTTATTTTTAAAAATGAAGAGTTTAATAGAGATGTATTTATAAAAGTATATATTTATTTGTAAAGTACTTATATAAAAAATAATAAATTTAATAAAACTACTTTATAATTAGATATAATGTAAAAAAATTATTATCATGTATATATATATATATATTGTTTATTTATGTGAGGTTATAAATTTAATTTTTTTAAAAAATTTAATAAACATGTTTAAGATGTAATAATAACAAATTATATTCTTTTTCTCTTGAAAAATGAAGTAATATATTGTTTTATTGAAAAGTTACTTAGTTTTTTTAATTAAATTTATAATATCATCACATCACCAAGTAATAAAATATTATTCTCTTATAGACGGCATTTTCATTTTACAATTAACGCAACTTAATTGAAATTAAACTAAAAGAATGATTGAAAATAAGTTTGGATTTTAAAGCATAATAGAGAAATAAAAGTTCAGATTAAGTAATAGGAAAACTTCTAAGATTGAGGTTCACTTTTTTTTTTTTTTTGGTAAAGAATGAAAACTAAAACAGTAGACAAACTCAAGACATAGAGTCTCTACCTAACGGTAACAAGATAAAATCAGGAGGATTCCTCTAAAATACATTGGAACCTGTGTTCCGTACAGATTGAGGTTCACTTTATGACGCTACCAGAAAATATTTCTTATTTATCTACATGCTATGATTTGTTCATATATATATATTGAAAGTGAATTAACTTAAAATATCCCTTATTTTTTTTAAAAAGAATACAAAGGTATATCTAATTAAATTGATTCATATTTTTGTGGTGATTATATTTAATTATCTTAATTAAAATATTCCTTTTTTTTTTATTTTTTTTTATTTTATGCGTCTAATGTTTGAGTTCAGTGCCTCCTAAATTCTTAAGAACAATGAACATTGTATTGTCTCAAACATTGTAAAAGTGAACTCAATTTCTTTGAGAAATAAATAGCGAAAACATAGAGTAGTGTTATTTCTTCCTAATGAAATAGCTGAAACTTCCTCTGAAAGATTAAAAATATATAATAAAATATTTATTTGTATTTTACTTTTCAAAATTTTCATGTTCAGAGGATCTTTTGGAGTCTTCATTTAGAAGATACAACATTTTTCAATAAAGAAAGATAAAGGAAAAAAATATTTATTTATATTATATAAATTTGTATATAGAAAAATATAGATTCAAATATGTTTTCAATTTCTCAAATTTAAGATAAATTAGTTTTTAGTTTCTCAAATTTAAAATTGATTTTTTAATTCATATAATTTTAAAAAAAATTCTTATTTTACTCCTTATATTCAATTTTTTAAGAAAATTGTTAAATATAGTCACACAAAATTTATTTAATGTCTTTGTTAATGAAAATAAAATATTCAATCTAGTTAAAGCTGCATAATTATCTCAATTTGTCATTTTTAAATATATTATTAATAATTAAAGGAACTAAAACAAAATTTGTAAATATTATATAAAAAATAGTTTTAAATTCAACTAAAACAAATTTACCCTATTACATTTAAGCGAAAAATATAATTTCTTTTTTATTAGTGATACGAATGTGGAAGACTTTATTGACTTTAGGGGTATTGCTATCTTTCTTAATTACTTGGCCCCGTGGCGTTGATTTAACGATATATGTGGTGGGCCGTGGCCCATGCCTACGGCTTTTATATAAACCAAAAATGTAAAAGAAAAATTGTCTGTAATTATATATATATTGTCCTTTATGTTACAATAAATAAAAATAAAATATTATTTATATTTTAAAAAATGAAATAAATAATTTTAAAACTTATTATATAATGTATAAATTTTCTATAAATAAATAAAAATAAATTTATTTTTCACGTGCTTTATTTTTATTTTACATAATAGATAAAATAAATATTTTAAATTTACCTTAACGTACCATTTTTTATATTTTATTTTCTTTATTTTATATTTTATGTTATTTATACATTTTTTTTCTTTCTCATCACTCTTTTCTTCTTTATTTTTTTTAATGAAGCAATAAATAATCATCTTATTTTCTATTATTTTTTCACTTTCTTTTCTCTATGTTTCTTTTATTAAAAAAAAAGGAAAATTTGTTTTAGGTTCGTATCTGGCATTCTCCTCCCGAAAGAAACATCTAAACTTACCATTTGATTTTGGGAGGTAATTATCTTTCCGCATCTAAAGCTGCAGTCTGTTCATTGACCAAAAACTTGTGTACATTGAATCTTGAAAAGTTGTATTATTTAGAGTCAATTATTTGACGCTTTTTCCTTCTACATTCTTTGAAAACTTTTCTCAATTTCCTCCTTTCACTTTAAATTTTGGTAAAATGTTATTTTGCAGTTAACAGGTCACCATTGGTATTATTATTTGAGTTAATCATCTATATACTGCCAATGTAAAATTTTTATACAGATGATTAATTCTTATTATTTAAGAGGATGAAATTTAGAATGAAGCAAGATACGTGCCCACCATGAGGAGGATCCTAATCTCCTCCAATTTTGAATTGCGGATTTAGGACATATATAAACACCAACGAATAAGAAAGAAGTTGATTTATAATTAAAAGAAAGGAATAATGACGATTACTTCAGCTCATCGTAAGAACAGGTAATTAAAAAGCTTACAGAAACATTTTGAATTAAATTATAATAAAGGGTCAAAAAGGAATGGTGGATAATTTTTTAATTGAGCATAGATTGTTTTATAATTTCTTAAGTTATATAATGATACATAATAAAAAGAGTAATGATATATTTTTTTTCATAAAATATTACAAATAAAAGATTAGATAAAATTTATCATACAAAGCTAGTAAAAATATATAAAAAGAGAATTTAAAATAATTAGTATGAAAAAAGTGTGACCGATTATTATTTTGGGTACATTGTGTTAAATAAACTCTAGATAAAAAAAAATCGGGTTTAATATTTTTTTCCTTATGTAATATAGTAGTTTTAATTAGAAAATAAATTTGTCTTCACAATGCGATACTTTCTTTGTTTTAATTTTTGAAGCTAATATCGTATATATATTAGTTAGTGTGTATGTACGTGTGTGTATGTGTGTTCAAAAGTTTTAATTGTTTAAGAGTTTTTTTATTAGAGGTCGAGTTTAATCTATAGAAAGAAGATATATAAGATTTTCTTTAAGACTTGAATTTTATAAGTTTATTCTTAAGAAAACTTAGAGAGATGGTCTAGAGAGAGGAGCTTTGAAACCATTAGTGACCTTACTTCTTTTTTATTCCACTATTCATCTTTGATCCCTTCCCTAGTGCTGATTGAAGCTGTAGTGTTAAGATTCTAGCTTAGAGATCTTTGATTAGGAGTTTTGAGGTGTCGTGCGGAGCTTCTTGGAGGAGTTTATTTTCTTCTTCCTTTTTCTTTGATTCTTGTGGATTTAGAGGTAAAAGAAGTTAGAATTTTGTTTCTTGTTGGATTTTATGGAGTTGTATGTAGGTTGTTTTCACTAAGTTTGTGGTTGTATGGATGATTTGTAAGTTGAGATGTGTATGTTGTTCATTTGGGGTTTTCTTGAATATGTTAGAGAAAAATGGGTGATTCTAAGAATCTGTTGTTGCATGTTGAAGTTCTTAATGGATATGAATTTTTGGTGATGTATATATGTTGTTTAGTACCTTGCATGTCAAATTTCTTGAGTTTTAGGTGTGGATGAGCCAAATTTGTTATTTTGCTAAGTGCAAAAATCACCATCACACTAGATGTAGCTTCAAGGTGTCGGACGTGATATAGGTTAGAGGCTTTCTGCCTCACTCTCGCCAAGTGTAGGAAGGCTAGCATTAAGTTTGAGTTCGAAGAGAGCTTTCTAACTTGATCACATCGGACGTGGGTTGAATAGCATTGGACATGAATGTCCTTGGAGCTCTCTAACTTGGTGACACTGGACCCCAAGTTGAGTGGTGCTTAATATGATCAAGACAAAAACTCTCTACCTGAATGATGCTAGGTGCCAGTGGAATGACGTTGTACGTGAGTTAGACAGAGACCCTTTACTTGAAATAGGATCGAGTGTGGATTTAGTCACACCAAACGTGATTGTCATAAGGGTTCCCTATCTCATTCATGTTGGACGCGGGTAGATTGGCGTCGGGCATGGACAAGTTAGGTGGGTCAAGCCACTTAGATTATGTTTTAAGAGATCTCTTAGTTATAAAGCGTGAAGACACTTTTAGTTGTCATGTGGTGTATATATTGTTGAGTTGATGATTGGGGTTGTGCATATGCTATGTTGCTATTTGGATAAGTTACAGTGTTACGATGTTGTTCAAGTCAAATGTTGTGTCATGCGA